CTCACACACACTCACACACACTCACACACACCACTGGCAAGGTTAGCGCCTGAGCCCTTTGAACGCAGCCAGGGAAAGCCCTGCATTCTGGGAGATTTATTCGGGCCAGGCGGCGAGAAGAAACGAGACCCAGCTACTTTGTGGGAAGATATTAAAAGGTGGTTTCAAGGGCAGCCGGTTTTCAAGGCGACTATCAGAGTGAATTCACTCGGCAGCGTGATAACCTCTCCACGCAGCAGTTAAACGACTCGTTCAGGAAACGTTCTGCGGGGAATCATTCACCCTGAAAAGACTCAAACTCAAGCGGCTCTGAGTAACACGGCTTCTGAGAAGGGACACAATTACTTTAAGTAGCATGTACAATGAATGTTAGCGGCATTAAAGGAGCCGAGCCACCGAGAGATTACAGCCTTTTGCACGATTTGAAGAATGAATCAGTGACATGTATAACGAGGTCTGAGAGCAGCTGTCACCCACAGAGCAGCAACCACTTCCAGTTTACCCTCCACCCCCGACTCTTAAAAGACTCTTAATTAAAATGAAATAAACCATAATCTCATCAAAGTTAGTCAAAGTTGTTTGATCATCTTTTTTTCTTCTCGACGCAGACGTCAGCCACAAAGCCGGCGTGACTATCAGCGCTCTGAGCCGCAGCGTCGGCCACTGTGCTGCTACAAGACCCTTATTTGAAGTCTGGCTGAGCGACAGGCATGAAACACTAGGAGACATTATCTCATATCAGCAGCATCAGCCTCATTCTATTCTGCATCGCTGCCTCCTCAGCTCTTCAGAGTCGCAGTCACTGAGCGCAGCAGCTTTCTGGAGGAAGACGGGATCACAGGCCGCACAGGAACTCCACAGACGCTGCAGACGCTTCAGACGACGAGTCGAGCGTCAGAGCAAGAAGAGCCGAGACGTGTGAGGAGCTGCTGGTTTTATAAATGACCCAACACACAAACTGATCATATAGAATTTAAATTGAGAGAAACATTTCAATAAATGTTATTATTCAATAAGTTATCGATCACGTCATTAACTCTTCTCTGTTACGTCTCGTGCACGAGAGTGTATCTATTGTAACACACACACACACACACACACACACACACACACACGAGGAGAAACTGATATTGACAGAGACATAAATGGCGATGGAGACAATGAAAGAGGGAGGTCAAGCAAGAAGAAAGATGGAGAGAGAGAGAGAGAGATCTTGAACATAGAGATATTACGAGGAGGCGTCGAGTCTCTCGTCTTCAGGGAAAGAAAGCGAGTCATTGTCGCAGCAGCAGGAGAACGAGGAGAACGTGGAGAAAGGAGGCCATTGTTAGCGGGGACTCGGCTGACAGCTCCTCTGATAACACTCATATTTTGGAGGAGGAGGCGGTGAGGGAGGAGGTGCAGCCGGGGCCACACGGCTGTGATATGAGCTGAAATGAAACCGGGAGGATGGAAAACAGAGGGAGCATGGAGGGAGGTGAGGAAGAGGGCAGGAGGATTCAGATGGAAGGAGGAGGAAGAGGAAGGGAAGATGAAAAGAGAATGAAGAAGTGGAGCGAGACCGAGAGAAACCCAGCGCCAGGGGAGCGAGAGAGAGGCTGCATTTAGAGAGAGAGGGAGGGAGAGAGAGAGAGAGGGAGGGAGGGAGGGAGGCTGCATTTAGAGGGAGAGAGAGGGAGGGACGCTGCATTTAGACAGAGAGGGAGAGGAGGAGTAGAGGGAGAGGAGGGAGAGAGAGATAGAGGGAAGAAGAGAGAGAAGGCGTGGAGGGAATTGTTGGCATAGTCGATTGTTTTCAGTGGAAAATATGATG